AATAATAATAATAATAATAATAATAATAATAATAATAACAATAATAATAATAATAATAATAAAATAAGTAAATACCATCACTTTTCCGATAAACGAATTTTGTCATAGAATTACATGAGCAAAACGACTGAAAAACCATACCCTATGGGGCCGCACATACCTTAAGTTTATAGCCCAGACTTCAGCGTCAGAAAATAACGGAAGTAGATCAGGACTTCTTTACTTTTTTTTAAAAAATTATTTACTCTGTGTATATTAGATTACAATTACAGAATACTTATTATACCTTACAAAACTTACAATTTACAACACAACACTAAAATCGACCTATACTTAGCTAAATTCACAGTTTACAATTGTCACTTACAAAATGTTATTTTACATTACCTACTTAGAGTACTCTGCTTGCTACATACGACATTACCTACTTACAAACCTTGCATAAAATAATTACTGAGTTGCTTACAATATGCTATATTATTTACGTATCTTTACGGCTATAGGTCTTGCACCGACCTCCAAACAGGTTGACGAGGGTGGCTAGGGTGGCCAGGATGGCAAGGGTGATGGGGGTAGCGAGGGTGGCGAGGGTGACTAAGTTTGCTAGGGTTGCTAGGGTGGCGAAGGTAGCGAGATGGGTGCAGGTGGCCAGGAACAACGGGGCACATAACAATCATCATACACGAAGTACTTTTGTCTTGAGACTTGCAGCAGTAGAGAGAAAACTGGTAACTAATGATTATATTTACGATTTTCAGACACTTCCAGAATACTTTCAGCAGAACTCTCAAAGATACATGTTAGTTAGTGATCAATCGAAGAAGGTGAATATTTATGGGTCACAAATGCTCATCATTCTGCAGACCATCTGTGACGGTAAATGGTAGAAGATACCGAGTGGTTAAAGACCTTGGAGAGGGAGGTAAAATATCGATTATGTACGATCTTATCTCTTTACGTACAGCTTCAACTGAGAAGAAGAAACTTTTCGAACTTCCAAAATCTAAAGTTGTCATGCTCAAACGAAACTGTTTAGTCCTCATAATGATATATTTGGGGAAAGAAATTATTAAAAAAAAGTTCGTAGGCTGGACTCCGCTTTATGTTTTAAGCAGTTCCGGCTGAAAATTGCGTGGAATCTGATACAGTATTGCAAGATATCAGGCTTATAGAGTTTGGAAGGTAAGCTTAACTTTTACAATAGTGGACAAATATTCTAGCCATAGTCAGCGTGGAAGGTACGAGGTTTTTAATGACTTTCCTTAGTTTACAGTGATACAGTAGTGACGACCGGCCGACCTAAGAGGAAATCGTCAAAATTATGAGGAAGCGGTGTGGAAAAAGTTTTGCTACTCATATGACGTTGACATTAACCCCCAAATAATCATTACATCATTGTGGCTGATGATTGATCGATATGTATCTATTCCATTTTAAATATTTGAACTAGAAGTAAATCGGCTAAAACCACTGAGAGCAAAATATGTGTTAGAACTATAATAACCATATGTATATATGATTATACAGTCAAACCTCGATTATCCGTACTCGTCGGGACTAGACGAATTAGTTCGGATAATCGAGGGTCCGGATAATTGAAAATATGAATATTAATGAAGAACAAAACTGTTTAAATAAAGCAACATTTAATCGTGAAACAACACTTTAACAAATCGTTTGGAAAACAGTATGGTCTATTAGTGTATATCTTGAACCACTCAACTCTGAGCTAATCAGAACTCTTTCAAGTGTTCTTCATTAGTTACGACGCGTGCAAGTGCTGCTTTTGCTCTTTAAAAGCAAAACAAGCTCGCTTTTGACTGCACATGAATGAATGACTGAATGAATGGCAACTTTATGTAAGTCTCATTCTTAATAGCTGAGCACAAATGCTCTACTAATTGGGGAGACTATATTTAATGCTATATAGTTTTAAAAAGAATATTGCTATGGGTCTTGATTATGACTAATAAATATTCATGACAAAATTGGGACTAGCGAAAAAGTCCAGATAATCAAGAAATCTGGACAATCAAGGTATGAATAATCAAGGTATGAATAATCAAGGTTCGACTGTACAACACTTAAAAATGCACAAAGAGGGCATCATAATATTGTTTTGTCCTCCTCATGTGGTTGTTGCTTGACCTAATCCTGTACTTAACTTTTGTCAAGGAAGCGTATCTGATTAAGTGTTCTTGTAGCCACTAGGATGTATAAAATGCCTTGTCTATCGGGCTCTGATGTCAGGAAAAAAAATCATAACAAGCATTCCTAATCTCTAATCAGTGTCTGAGTGTTCCGTTTCAAAACATTCAAGGAAATAATGATATTGAATCGGGAGATTTGTTACATGTGAGTTGGATGTGAGTTGTAGAAGGATGCCACCTAGGCAAATCTGTCTGCCATGAAATGGGGCCATGATCCAAGGTTGTTTTCGTTTCTTTCAAATCCTGACTGAAAGTCTACAGATGGAATTTCCAAGATTCTTTTCATGTAGGTGCTTGTAGGACGTTTGTATCATTCTATGTAAAGGGAAGCCTGAGAACTGCCACACTGTAGTGGTGTGTATAATGACCAAATCTGGACTGACATGTCTTACTTTGAATTTCAGCTTTCTCCTATGTTAACCTTGTGCATCATGGAAAGGAATGGTTTGCCCTGGTAGGTTTTATGTTAAATGCTTAGGTGCATGTCAAAAACTTATAATACATGTATCTGGGCGAAGCTGGGCTGGGAATTTATTGCCTTGAGGTTTTAATTTAAAAGAGTCCATTGAATGAGGGGCTCATTGGCACATATGCCAAGGCGTGTCTCTTGCCTATATTAGTGCAGGGTGGGCAATTTCTTTAGTATGTGGTGCTGGTTTGACAATGTGCAAAACATTATGAAATAAGAAAATAATTGAAAATTTCCCAAGTCCCTGACAGGACTTTGGTATAGTTCTGAAGGTTTGCAAAAGGTAGTGATTCCCAAACCTTACTTTACAAATAAAAGTAGATCAATTTATGTCTTAAATAAGAAGGTTACATTTTGTCATAATGATTAGAATTATATGCAAATAAGGAAACAAACATGACTATTTAAAGGTCGTGTAAAGCAGCAATGGTTTGACTTGAGTTCATGGCTTGAAAAAAGTGCTGTCTGGTCGTCTGGGACAAGTAGATTTTTCTTTTGGGCATGTAACTTTTCTTTCTCACTTGCCCGATGGGCAAGGGATGAGGCAAGTCATCTGGCAACGTACTAAATCATTGAAAAGCAAACTAAGACTTGCCCAGGGCAACTCTGCAAGCAAACTTTGAGAGATACTTGTCCTAAGGGCAAGCCGGAAAATCATTCAAGTTTTTTCAAGCCCTGCAGTTGGTTCTCAGTAAGATCCAATCACAACATGTTTACTAAAGAAGAGACTGATTTGCTGAGCACATTATCATTAAAACCTCCTTTAACCAATTTTCACTTTCTACTACTTGTGATCTTTCCTCTTAGAAAAGAATGCGTCTCCAGCTCCCTGAACAAGAGGAGGTGAGTTTATAATTATTCCGTTTGACTTGATCGGTTTGTAACCATCCACATGTATTGAAGAGTACATACACTGTAAGTAAAATGAAAGATGCAATATTCAGTATGTTGCAAGCATGGGACAAAGAAAAGTCTTAGTCCCTGATGGGATTCAATCCCACGACCTCCCAGATAATGGTTGGGCACTGGCCTAACTGCAGGGCTCTGGAGAGATTCATGGTGAGGTACAGTAGGTTTGGCATACAGATCAGCAATTTTGATATATATAACCAGCCTATGGTGTACCACAATGAATCATTGAAGAACCTGCCTTGAATCATGTCTAATCAAAAGTTTGGACAGGATTCAGGGATGTTCACTGTAGATGAAGGGAAAATGAGCACTCAATCCTGAATTAATTAGCACTTAAGTCTTGAGGTGCAACTCTCTTAAAAGGACCCTCAGTTGAGCTCTAAAAATTAAATAATTATAAAGAAATGTTATGTCATGTAAAATTTTAAATTTACTAACACATGGTAAGAGTGTATCACAAATTATTCCTCAGCTGACTGTTTTTTACCTGCAAATTATTTTGTGACATTAGGCATTTGAACGTGAAGTAGATGCTCACAGAGCAGTTGATCATCCAAGTGTTCTGGCCTTGCATGATGTGGATGTGGTTACCAAGGGAACGTATAAAGAGGCTCGCATGCTTGTAACATATTACAAGGTACACCTGTAAACTGCTATATGTTTTATTAGGGTACAATATAAAATGTGACATATTTTTACAGACCTGTAAACTTAACAGAGTTTGTACGTGTGTGAACAATGCGTGTATATCATACAAAATGTACAATTTGTATAATGAGCTGCCAGTTTAAATCAGTACATAAAATGTTTCAGATTATATGTTACTTCACAAATATGCCACAGGGAAAAGTAATAAAACCATTACAGTGTCTTCATTTCTTGAACCCTTGAGTTTTCAAACCTCCCAATAACTTGAATCAAATTTTCCCTCCCCTCAGTTGAACACTGTTTGTCTGTAATGTTACTCCCAATTTCTCAAGCTATCTGATTTTGCAAACCAATTTACAGTTGTTTTGGAGGTTCAAAAAAATATGGATCCTACTGAAGTATCAAATTGGTCAGGACAGGGTTTCCTCTGGTGAAACTATTTAAAGGAAGTTCTCCAAATGCAATCCAAGCTCTAGTGGTAATGCATGGCTCACTCACCATGATTCTGATCATCAGATTATATTTTGTTTTTCTTTCAGGATGGAACAGTTCAAGATTTGATTGAATGCACATTAAGTCAAGGTGGCTACATACCAGAGTTAAATATTCTTCACATGTTCAAATCTCTTTGTGATGCGATACTTGCCTTTCATAGTCTGGAGCCACCTCTAGCCCATAGAGATATCAAGGTGGGTAGAGTTTGCAGTTATGTAATAGAATGTTGGAGGCAATTTAGCTGGGAGACTGCTTGTGTGTCTAGGAGTGGAGGGGTGGGGGGTGGGAATAGAGGGGACTTGCTCCCATCAACATTTTAAGGTTGTTGTGGTACCTCAGGGTAAGTAATTTAGACTGATGTGTCCATATTCGTAGTTCTAATAGCTGAACCTGGCCTTTCAGTGCTTTTACATGGTCTTATTTGTCATTCATCTAAGTTAATGAAAGAAGCAAAATCAGCCAGAGAAAGTGATCAAAGCCTTTTGTGCCCAAACAGCTAAGAGTACTGATATCCCCCCTTGACCAGGGATGCTAGACTGTTGTAGGTTACTCCTCATCATTCTGTGAGGCTGCCGATCAATTTGCCAGTACCCAATCATTCTTAAGGGTGGAAAGAGACACTGTGACATTGCCTTGCCCAAGAACATAACATAATGACTCTAACAAGGGCTTGAAACTGCTCTGCTTGATATGGTGTAGTCCATTGGACTATCCATTATGCCAGAATACCTCCCACAAGCTCTAGAGTGGATTAGAAATTGTAAATTGGTTGTACATGTACCTTTAGGATGTAATATGAATTTAAGACAATTCCACATCTTAGACAAGATTTACCCCTTTTTTTTCTTGCTTTTTAAGTTTCCAACAGGGAGCACTTTGATACGAGTGCGTGTTTTCTCAATTTTTATCTTAGTCAAGACTGATGTGTAAATTTTCAAGTAAAATTTTTCTTTTTCAGCCTCATAATTTGTTACTTGGTCCTAACATGACTGTGGTGCTGATGGACCTTGGCAGTGTGTCTAAGGCCAGATGTACCATAACATCGAGGTAAGTGAGAAATCTTAGTTTACCTGTTATTCAGGTCTTGCAAAATGGTGCATACAATGTAATAAGTATAGCCGGCTAGTGGACAACTTGTTGTATTGATGTCCTGTTGCGATCTCTGGCAAGGCATTTTAT